TCACTCCCCAGATAGCCACAACTGCCGGAGCTGGACTGATCCAAAGCCAGGAGCCAGGAGCTTTCTCCAGGTCTCCCACATGGGTATAGAAGCTCAAGGAATTGGGCCATTCTCTGCTGTTTCCTCTGGTGCATTAGCAGGAACCTGGATCAGAAGGGGATCAGCCAGGACTCAAATTGGCACTCATATGGGATGCCAACATCACAGCAATGGCTTAACCTGCAATGCATAAGTGCTGTTTCCTATACATTTTTTTTTCTTTCTTAAATTTATTTGACAGGTAGAGTTATAGATAGTGAGAGAGAGAGAGACAGAGAGAAAGGTCTTCCTTCCGTTGGTTCACCCCCCAAATGGCCACCACGACCGGAGCTATGCCGATCCAAAGCCAGTAGCCAGGTGCCCCCTCCTGGTCTCCTATATGGGTATAGGGGCCCAAACACTTGGACCATCCTCCACTGCCTTCTCGAGCCACAGCAGAGAGCTGGACTGGAAGGGGAGCAACCGGGACTAGTACCCAGCGCCCCAGCCGGGACTAGAACCCGGGGTGCTGGTGCCACAGGCAGAGGATCAGCCAAGTGAGCCACGGCGCTGGCCCCATACATGGTTTTATATTTAACATATGAAAGATACATAATAAACATTTTTGAAATTTAGAAAAATTAGTATTATTAATTAGTATTATTTAATTTTTAAAATATAAAACAAGGACTGGCATTGTGCATAGCAGGTTAAGCCACAGCCTGCAATGTCAGCATCCCATATAAGTGCCAGTTTTAAGTCCCAGATGCTCCACTCCCAAACCAATTTCCTGCTAATGTACCTGGGAAAGCAGTGGAAGATGGCCCAAGTCCTTGGGTCCCTGCATCCACATGGGAGACCCAGAAGGCTCCTGGCTTTGGCTTGGCCCAGCCCCAGCCATTGCAGCTATTTGGGGTATGAACCAGCAGACAGAAGACTCTCTGTCTCTCCCTCTCTCTTCTCTCTCTATATCTCTGCCTTTCAAATAAATATATCTTTAAAAAACGTATATATATAAAACACATACAATGGATATAAGTGTATTCAACACTTCGTAGAAGTCAGAATATTATTTACTTCCTCTTCTCCACAGTGGAGAAAAGCTAAAACTTTAATTCTTAAAAAATATATACAGAACAGGATTTGTAGGCTATTGCATATCAGATACCTCAGTCACAAGGAGCAAAAGAGGAACATGTGTTACATAACAATGGTTTCTGAGAGTACGGTTATGTTTTGATAAATTTCTAATCATTATGGAGTTTCACAACAATCAGGGATGACAGAACTATCTAGGACAGAATAATGAAGAATGCCAACAGAGAGGGAAATTACAATGAAAAGCTACATTTCAAAATGCCTTGTATCTTTGAAGCAATAACATATATTATTATTATGCCTATACCAGTATGACTCATTTTAATTACACAGTATTTAGCATTTGTAACAGACTGGGGAACTCAAGTAAAATAATGAAAATGTGTTAATTTTTACTAGTTTTGTCACTTGAAAATCTAGGCTTTTGAAAAATAATTTATCTGGGGCTGGCACTGTGGTGTAGAAGGTTAAGCCTCTGCCTGCGACACTGTATCCCATATGTGCACCCGTTACAGTCCTGGCTGCTCCACTTGTGATCCACCTCCTTGCTAATGTACCTGGGAAAGCAGTGGAAGATGGCCCAAGTGCTTGGGCCTCTGCAATGACGTGGGAGACCAGGAAGAAGCTCCTGGCTCTTGGCTCCTAATTGGCCAGGCTCTGGCTGTTGCAGCTGTCTGGGGGGTGAACCAGCCGATGGAAGATCTCTCTCTGTAACTCTGCATCCCAAATAAATAAATAAATATTTATTTGAGTAGCACATCATTGCGGGGGTGGGGGGAGGATTGAGAAAGGAGGGAGGGAGGGAGAGAATGAACTCCCCTTTCACTAGTTCACTCCCCAAATGACTGAAAACTGGACCTGGCCAAAAGCCAGAGACTGAAGACTAGGACCCAGCAATTCAATCCAGGTCTCCCTCATGGTTGGCAGGAACCCAACACTTGAGTCTTCACCTCTGCCTCCCAGGGTCTGCATTAGCAGGAAGCTCAAGGCAGAAGCCAAAGCCAAGAATTGAACCCAGGTGCTCCAATATGGGAAACAGGCATCTTAACTGCTAGGCTAAATGCTCACCTTGAAAAATCCAGAATTTTAATAAAAACAAAATAAATGCAGTTTTAAAAAGAACAGTTGTAATTTATGTGTCTTGAGTAGTAAGTATAGGAACTTCTAGAAAAATGAACTAAATATAAAACGCTTAAGACAGTAAAAATAATTTTTAGGATGATAATCTGATTCTTTTTTGTATTTAAAGTAATCACAAAAATTCAAGGAATGTGGTAAGGGTACATAGATATCAAAGATATTTTAACAAACATGAACAAAAGGAATACTAGTGGGGCCAGCACTGTGGCACAGTGGGTTAACACCCTGGCCTAAAAGCACTGGCATCCCATATGGGCACTGGTTCAAAACCCGGCTGCTCCACTTCCAATCTAGCTCTCTGCTATGGCCTGGGAAAGCAGTAGAAGATGGTCCAAGCCCTTGGGCCCCTGCACCCGCGTGGGAGACCCGGAAGAAGCTCCTGGCTCCTGGCTCCTGGCTTCGGATCGGCTCAGCTCCGGCCATTGCGGCCAACTGGGGAGTGAACTAGCGGATGGAAGACCTCTCCTCTCTCTGTGTAACTTTCAAATAAATAAATAATTTTTTTTTAAAAAAAGAATACTAGTTATAACCACAAAGATTTGGCATGAGTACAATGATGGTCAAAAGCCTATTTGCTATACTAACATTTGAGAAATAATTAATATTCAGAGTAAAAACATACACAGCATTATTCTTAGAAACTAGAGTTGTTGTTTTGCTTTCTCTCAAAAAAATTTTTTAAAGATTTATTTATTTATTTGAAAGGCAGAGTTACAGAAAGGCTGAGACAAAGAAAGAGAGAGAGAGACAGAGAGAGAGGTCTTCCATCTGCTGGTCACTCCCCAGATGGCCACAATGGCCAGAGCTGTGCCGATCCGAAGCCAGGAGCCAGGAGCTTCCTCCGGGTCTCCCACATGGGTGTAGGGGCCCAAGGACTTGGGCCATCTTCCACTGCTTTCCCAGGCCACAGCAGAGAGCTGGATCAGAAGTGGAGCAGCCAGATACAAACAGCACCCATATGGGATGTTAGCACCGCAGGTGGTGGCCCTACCTACTACACCACAGCACCGGCCCGTTCTCTCAATTTAATTAATGTTTTACTGATTGATTAGGACTGGTGCTAAGCAAGGTGTAGTTATGAATCAATCAAATTCATAACTATAAGATTTATTTGTAAATGTGCTCTATTTAAATACAGCTTGACCATCAAACTGGTATCAGATGCTCACACTGCTCTGCTCTACTTCAATCTTTCAGGTTCCCCATAGTTTGCTATAAAGTTCAACTCCTACCCTTTGTACCCAGGGACCTTCATGTTGTGACCCTAGTCTAGGCCTCCAACCTCAAACATACCCATCTGTTTGTTCCAGCCACATCATATTATGGGCAGTTCCAGGACCACAGAGGTTGCATCCCACAGCATCTCCTATCCTACCACTTGGTGTTCCTTCTTTTAGCCATCACTTTTCAACCTTTGACAGCGGTCGCAATCCCACAGAAACCTCCTTGATTCTCCCAGTTGAATTCAGAGTCCCTTTTGTAGGTCCCCACAATACCCTCAGATATGATGATTCCTTATGGAATGATGACTTAAGAAAGAAAAAACAATTGGCCGGCACCATGGCTCACTTGGCTAATCCTCCGCCTGCGGCACCAGCACCCCAGGTTCTAAGTCCTGGTTGGGGTGCCAGGTACTAGTCCCGGTTGCTTCTCTTCCAGTCTGGCTCTCTGCTGTGGTGCGGGAGGGCAGAGGATGATGGCCCAAGTGCTTGGGTCCCTGCACCCACATAGGAGACTGGGAGGAAGTACCTGGCTCCTGGCTTCGGATAGGCACAGCGCCAGCTGTGGCAGCCATTAGGGGAGTGAACCAACGGAAAGAAGACCTTTCTCTCTGTCTCTCTCTCACTGTGTATAACTCTCTCTCTGTCTCTCTTTCTCACTGTCTAACTCTGCCTGGGGGGAAAGAAAAGAAAAAAGAAAACTGATTTTATTTGGTTTCTAAACCTCTATTTTATAATTCCATGTCATCTACCTTCTACTGCTCTCCTTATAAATCAATGTTTGAGTAGAAAGAATCTAATGCAAACATGCTTAAGATACATATATTTTCAATTTCACAAGGACACACGGACATTGTAATAATGCAAGTTATAGAAGCAGACCTTTTATGATACCATTACTAATAAATGCTATCAAACCAAGTAATTCAAGGATTTATTTATTATAAAGTACATGCTTATTCCTGCTATTACATGTTTATTCTGGTTGCTATTAAGGGAGTCAAAAGAGGTCCTTTCCAATTAAAAAATATTTTAAATATATGTACCACACACATACCCTTATATTTCTTCCCAGGTACTCCATATACCTCTGAAGTCACTGTACCAACTTCTATCACTATGTTAATTTCATTTCTATTCTTGAATTGAATAAATGGAATCATACAGTATGTATTCCTTTTTGCTAGGTTTCTTTTGCAGAATGTTAGCCTTAATATAATTTAAAATGGAAGAAATAAAAATCGTAAAATACAGATGTCAAGGGTTATTAGCAATTTAATTCTCATAAAATATTTCATATAGATTTAAAATAAATATTTTCACTTATATTATACTTCATAGGGTTGTTTAAACATGAAACTGCTTATCTTTAGAGGTAACCTGGCAGCATTTTCATCACAGGTCCAGGTAAGTACACAGTGGAGGATGATACAGAAGAGATCTGAGCATGTATAAAAGCTACATACCTCAATGCAGAGAACATGGTATTTTTAGAAAAAATAAAATAGTCTTAGTTATACTCACCTTTGTGGTATCATGTGCATCCAGTATGCCTTCTACAATGTCAGAGAGATCCATATGTAATTCCTTTAAAAACAGCAATCCGAAGGAGTAATTAGAAAAGAGTGGATACAATTTTTATTTTATTATTCAGCTGGTAAAGTATATGTTGCTTATTTTTAAATTATCACACACAATTCTCAAATCTGCTTTAAAAATTAAGATAAATTTTCCTGTGACTTTTTACTTTCTTCTTACTTTATACAATAAGTTCAGCTTACTAATTTTTTTCAAGCCAAACGTTCTTCCCAATTTTGCATCTCTTTTATTTATTGGAAAACCAGAGAGACAGACATACAGATAGATAGATCTTTCATCTGCTGGTTAGCTTTCCAAATACCTGCAAGAGCCAGGAACTCTATCTGGGTCTCCCACACGGGTGACAGGCACCCAGGCAAAAGTAGCCTGGACTGGAACCAGGCATTCCAACATGGCATGTGGGCATCACACACAGGTGACCTAACCACTGTATCAAATGCTGGCTCCATCTGTTTTTTTTTTTTTTCTCTAGCTCATTCCATTTTCCTGTTGGGATTTTAAATGCAACAAGACGTACACAATCAGAACTTACAGGGATGTCATCAGTGCGGTTGTCCTTCCAGACCTCTAAAAGCGCAACCACCATGTCTCTGAGCTCAACTCTGGACAGCACTCCATCACGGTCAACATCAAACACCTTGAAGCAAACTAACAAAAAGAAACTCTCATGGACCAAAAGTATCTTTATATTCTGAAGTAGAAGATATCTTATTAGAAGGTGGCCTTGTGTAATTACTTAGTTTTTTAAACAAGGATATTCTGGAGTAGCTCTCCGCAGCAGACTAAACCTACTCCCTGTACATGAATCGATCCCTCAAAATCATTACCCAGGTCAGGGAGCTCCATATTTCAGCCAAACCTAGAGCTTATATTATAAGCCAGAAAGCATTAAGTCATCCCACAATGTGACAGTACATTATAGGGTTTGAGGTGGTAATGTGAACACTTATTTCTTATATTCAAAACCAATCATTGCAAACTTCTTAAAATATTCCACATACATTGAGAATCAGTAAGAAAAAGCTGGTGTAAAGGTAGCGTACTTCCACTTTACCTCTCCAATGTAACAGTGTACAAATACATTCAACTTTGAAAAGAACAATTTCAACTCTTTATAAAAGTTCTTCAATGTGCTAAAAACTAGAAAATCAGCACTTTGCTAATTATCTTCAAATGATTCACTCAGTTTGTTAATCCCCATTATAAAAATTTCCATTTCAAAAGTAGTAATTAGTGGGGGCCTCGCCCTGGCCCCTGGGAGCTCACTTGCAGGTGAATTAAATCCAGCCAAAGGAAAAAAAAATGTAGTAATTAGCCTCAAATGAGAAGGAGAGTTCACACTTCCTATTTAACATTAAATTTTAATGCAAAAAAATCATAAACTAACAGTAGATAAACAAGGGATAAAAATAAAAATAATTCATAATTTTAGGATTAAAAACTTATGTCACAGAATAGTTAAGGTTTTAAATTAATTCAGTATATCATAGTATAATATTACTATGTAAGATAAAAATATCAAATAGTTCTATTTTAGAAAGACAAAAAGATAATGACCCTAGTAAATATATTTGAATTAGGTTCTAATTAAATGTAAACTGCTGTAGTGTCTCAAAAACAGTAAAGATTTAATAATGTAATGTTCTTATGCCTGTAAATTAGGCTGTAACAACATTTTTAGCTAGGGTAAAAAAAGGACATTTTAGTATTTAATATAATTGTGTTTTGATCATAAATTTCATTCCAATAAAATATTAACATGTATAAGTGAAAGACTTATACTTCAGATTATGTAAGACACAAAATTCTCTATATAGACTACTAGAAAATATTTCCTAAATGATTAATAAAACTTTTTAAAAATATATCATAGCTGATTGGTTCATTTATCAGGAATTACAAACTATTCAGGAAAATCAACCCCATTGTTAATAACAAAGAATCTTGGGGCTGGCGCTGTGGCATAGCGAGTAAAGCTGCTGCCTGTAGTGCTGGCATCCTATACTGGCACCGGGTAGAGTTCCGGCTGCTCCACTTCCGATCCAGCCCTCTGCTATGGCCTGGGAAAGCAGTAGAGGATGGCCCAAGTACTTAGGCCGCTGATCTCGCATGGGAGTCCTAGAGGAAGCTCCTGGATCCTGGCTTTGGATGGCGCAGCTCCAGCCAATGTGGCCAACTGGGGAGTGAACCAGCGGACAGAAGACCTCTCTCTCTCTGCCTCTCCTTCTCTGTGTAACTCTGACTTTCAAATAAATAAATAAATCTTAAAAAAAAAATAACAAGGAATCTTAATGATTTCACAGTAACAAAACAAAACAAAACAAAGATTCTTGATTTTTCAGAGTAATTTCAATAAAATCCCAATAGGAGACTGATATTTGCCAACCTCAAAAAGTTGTAAAAATTAAACTTTAATCCACAGATGATTTTACATGGATAAAAGCTGATTTTCTTTCTACAATTTTTGAAATAGTGTTTAACACACTTACATTTTTGTCTTTCAGCCAGGGGGCCCCTGCAACATGCTGATAATCCACAAGATATCTCCTTAAAATCTATGTGATTGTCACGATTTTCATCAAAAGCATTAAACAAACCTGTAAGATAGGAAAAGACAATATAAATCACAACCAACACACTTTCTAATATTAATACTGACAGGTTTATAGAAGAGAGGATGAAAACACTCATAAACTGGTTGAAGAAAGAAAAGAAGAGAACATTTATCAGTAGTTCCCAATGGCTATGAAAGTGTTTTTTTTTTTCCTTTTGATATAATTATAATTTATATCTGATCCCGGCAGGAAATCATATACATATTATTAATGTTTGGGTTATACTGTATGGATTTCTCTTATATCAATACTTAGATAAAAATGTCTATATTTTGCAAGTTGGTAAATAAAAAAAAATTTTTAAATCCCAGAAAGTCCAATAATTATCTTTACTTTTAAAGACTGAGATGAAAAAGAAAAAAAGAGAAAAGTGGAATTTCTTATTAAATGAATACTGAAAGATACATGACAGTATAATGAACAAGATTCCATAATATAGCTCTTTTCATGAAGCAAAGGAAAACATCACAAGAGATAAGGACTCTATTATATCATGTTTAGACTAATCTTTTATACATGAATATTAAAAATCCAAAAATCAATAATTTTATCCTGTGATTTTTTTCAAACATTTTAGAAAAAAATGGAATAACTTGTGCTTTCAAGTGAAATTACACATTTATCTCCAATTCTGAAAGTATAAAAACAACCATACTGTTGATATAAGTGGAAACCCAGAGCCCAACTTTCCCTGGTTCCCACAACAAGTACTTCTAACTAACTTAGGAATCTGAAAAATACAGAATATATAGTCCTAGAATCTAATTCAGCATGTGCTTCAAGAATGGAAAACTAAAGCTTCACAAAGGTGTAAGGGGCTGGCATGGTGGCACAGCAGGTCAAGCCTCTGCTTGTGATGCTGGCATATCTTACTGGAGTCTAGGTTTGAGTTCTGGCTACTCTGCTTTTGATCCAGCTTCCTTAATGTGCTTGGGAAGGCATCTCAAGATGGCTCAAGTACAGGGGCTCCTGCTACCCATGTAGGAGACCAGGATGACGTTTCTGACTTCAGCCTGGCCCAGTCCCAGCTGTTGTGGCCATCTGGGAAATGAACCAGTGAAGATTTTTCTGTCTCTCCTTCTCTCATTGTTGCTCTTTCAAATAAATAGATAAATATTTAAAGAAAAAAAGGTGATTTTAAAAAGGTCAGAACCTATTCAGATTTAGAGAGGATGTCAGACATAGTCTACTGTGGTAGCTCAACTTTTTTTCTTTTTTGGATGGGTAGAGATATAGCAGTGGAATATTTTTTTTTTCTTTTAAGATTTATTGATTTATTTAAAAGGCAGAGTTACAGAGAGGCAGAAGCAGTGAGACAAAGAAGTCTTCCACCCACTGGATTACTCCCCAAATGCCCACAATGGCCAGAGATGGGCCAATCCAAAGCCAGGAGCCAGGAGCTTCTTTCCAGGTCCTCAATGTGGGCACAGGGGCCCAAGCACTTGGGCCATCTTCCATTGCTTTCCCAGGACATAGCAGAGAGCCAGAGCAAAAGTGGAATAGCCAGGACTCAAACTGGCATCCATATGGGATGCCGGCACTGCAGGCAGAGACTTTACCTGCTACGCCACAGCAGTGGCTCCAGTGGAATATTCTATGAAGGAAAACAAGTGGTGCATCCTAGCTGAGGAAGAGCTATAGAAAACTGGAGCTTTCTCATTTGGTAGCCACCGGCACACTCCCTACAACAGCTACTACGCTGCTTTAGAAGAGCACATTTTCATAAATACTAATTTGGTCAAATTCACTTTATACATGAAGATATTCACAAGCAGAGGCGTAGAGTGATTTATGAACGGCTAAACAGGTAGAATATGAGCTAAAGATTACAATCTTAATTTCCATTTTTGTTTTTCCCATCTCACTATACAATTGCAAGAAATGTAAAAACGCTTAAGAACATCATCTTTTAGGGGTAGGCACTGTGGCACAGTGGGTTAAGCTGCTGCCTGTGATTTTGCCATTCCATATGGGTACTGGTGTGAGATCTGACTGCTTCTGATCCAGCTTCCTGTTAATGTGCCTGGGAAAGCAGTGGAAGATGGCCCAAGTGCTTGGGCCCCTGCACTCATGTGGAAGACCCAGAAAAAGCTCCAGGTTCCCAGCTTTGGCCTGGCCATTGCAGCCATTTGGGGAGTGAAACCAGCAGATGGAAGATCTCTCTCTGTCTCTTCCCTCTTTGTAACTCTTTCAAATAAATAAAAAGTAAATCTTTAAAAAAAAAAAAAGAACACTGCCTTTTAGACTTAAAATGTGTTAGTTAGAAAGAAGAAAAAGGCTCAGATATATTTCCTATTAAATATTTGTAGAAAATAGAATGAGTCCTACCTTCACTTAGAGACGGACGAATAGGTGGTGAAACCAATGGGCCAAATGTCTCTAAATCAAATCTTCCAGTCCGGGACTGAGCCTTTAGCAACCAATAGCGTTTCTCGAGATCAATGATGTCTGATTCTTCCACTGAGAGTGAAATTAAACAAAATTATGAGACTTCAAGAATTCTCTTCTGGGAAGTTTGCTTATCCTGTTAATATATTTTCCAAGGGTATAATTTTCCATTTCAATTGCTAAATATAATCATGAACAAAACTGAAACTCTGAAAGATAAATCTATTATATGTAACATGGTAAAACAATGAAATAAAAATTAGCACAAAGCAAGAGGCTTTAAAACAAATCTCCAATTCCTCATTACCAGGCTGCTGAAATGCAACACGTAAAATCATATACAACTGAGCCATTTCTTTTGGACTTCCCACACTACTTCTACCTCTATTCATTTTTGTTTACCTTCAGTCTCCATCCTGGATTTGAAGTTCATATGTACATCTTCCTTTCTGGCTAGACTACTCACACAGGACACAGAAAAGGACACGTCTGAGTCATCCTATCAGCAGGGTGACTCATGTACACATTTAATATTTAATGAATACATAGAAAAAATATGATCAAGAATGTTATAAGTAACAGAGTCAATAAATGACAGAGGAAGTAGAGTGGGATCCAAACGTGACAGATATTAGTAAAGTCATCAAAGCAGATGTTACTTTCCACTTATTCATCAGAAGGTAAACAAAAAAAAATTACAGATAAGCTCCAACCATGGTAAAAAGCATATATGGAAGACTGGCATTGTGATGTAGTGGGTAAAGTTGCCTCCTGTAATGGGGGCATCCCATATGGGTGCTTGTTCAAGTCCCGGCAGCTCCACCTCCAATTCAACTCCCTGATAATCCAGCTCCTGGGAAAACTAGTAGAACATCTGCTGGTTCACTCCCCACAGGGACGTAAGAGCCGAACTAGGCCAGTCCAAAGCCAGGAGCCAGGAGCTTTTTCTGGGTCTCCCACATGGGTACAGGGCCCAAGGACTTGGACATCTTGAACTGCTTTCCCAGGATATTAGCAGGGAGCTGGATAGAAAGTGGAGCAGCCAGGACTCAAATTGCCACCCATATGGAGTGCTGGTGTCACAGCCAGAGGCTCAACTTGCCATGCCACAGCACTGGCCTCTCTGCAACTCTTTCAAATAAATCAATAAAATCTTTAAAGAAAAGAAGCATATATAAAACATTTATTCTTAACTCAACAACCAAATCTAAGATATAAATAGGGAACTTCCAATTCTGACCATAATAGAATAACTAGCATCAGATTTGTCCTCCTGCCATAAAATACTAGAAAAACTATATAAAATATATAAAACAACTGTTTCTAGAATCAGATAACAGGCAGTTCAGGACTGCGATTCCTGCAGGAAAGAAAACAAATAAGGTGAGGCCTGGATTTCAGCCTGCAGTCATTTTCCAGACTTCAGGAAGGAACGAGGAACCTATGTACAAAGATTTCACTGAATGAAGAACAGAGGTTGGATTTCAGAGAGGTTGAGTTAGGCAGCTGAAATCTGTATGGCAGAGTACTGGATATTAATGAGTTAAACAAAGAGGGAGCTCCAGAAATCCAAACAGGTGTCTTGTTGAGTTTTGGCAGAACAATAGGCTGTATATGCAGAGAGAAACTCATTGAGGTTAGGCTAGGAACAAATGCTAGGCAATTAGAAGCTAAAAAATACCTAGAGCTCAAATGGGGCTAGGTGATGTCTGAGTTCTGACCAGCAGAATGGAGATCCTCTTTTTTTTTTTTTTTTTTTTTTGACAGGCAGAGTGGACAGTGAGAAAGGTCTTCTTTGCCGTTGGTTCACCCTCCAATGGCCGCCGTGGCCAGCGCACTGCGCTGATCCGAAGGCAGGAGCCAGGTACTTATCCTGGTCTCCCATGGGGTGCAGGGCCCAAGTACTTGGGCCATCCTCCACTGCACTCCCTGGCCATAGCAGAAAGCTGGCCTGGAAGAGGGGCAACCAGGACAGAATCCGGCGCCCCAACCAGGACTAGAACCCGGTGTGCCGGCGCCGCAAGGCGGAGGATTAGCCTATTGAGCCGCGGCGCCAGCTGAGATCCTTTATTGAACAAAGGGAGTATTCATAGACTCCAGAGGTCTTTAAAAAACAAACTGTAGACTATTACCAACTTGCCCCAAGAAAACTTAAATACAATTCTGCTCACTTTCTGCCAAAATAAATAAATAAGTAAAAATTTAAAGAGGATGGGGAGAGTAGCAAGCTTTTGACTCAGCAGTCAAGGCACCTGCACCCTATTTTGTAGTGCCTGGGTATGAGTACTGGTTCTGTTTCAAGTTCTAGCTACACGCCACTGCACACCCCAGGAGGCAGCAGGTGATGGCTCAGGTAGTTGGGTTCCTGAAAACCACATGGGAGACTCAGACTGAGTTCTTGGCTCCTGGCTTCAGCCTTGCTCAGACTCAGTTGTTGCAGGCATATGGGAAGTGAACCAGTTGATAAAAGATCTCTGTCTCTGTATGTCTGTCTCATTTTTGCATGCGCACGTGTGTTCTCTTTTTATATGTCTTACTGACTGGCATAGCGGGTGAGGCCACTTGTTGTGCTAGCATCTCATATGGGCGCCAATTCGTGTCTTGGCTGCTCCACTTCCAATCTGGCTCTCTGCTATGGCCTGGGAAGGCAGCAGAGGATGGTCCAGGTGCTTGGGCCCCTGTACCTGTGTGGGAGACCCAGAGAAAGCTCCTGGCTCCTGGCTTCGGATCGGCACAGCTCTGGCCATTGTGGCCATTTGGGAAGTGAACCAGCAGATGGAAGACTTCTCTCTGTCTCTCTGCCTCTGCCTCTCTGTAACTCTGCTTTTCAGATAAATAAATATATATATATATATTTTAAAAAGATCATTTAAATGCCTGAAAATATCAAGCTGATTCACAAATAACTTGACTATCTATCAAAAAAGTATTCCTGGTGTCAATGCTGTGGTTTATCAGGTTGAGCTGCTGCCTGCAGTGCCAGCATCCCATATGGATGAGGGCTCCACTTCTGATCCAGCTCCCTGCCCTTTTTTTTTTTTTTTTTTTTTTTTTTAAGATTTAGCAGAGAGCTGGATTGGAAGAGGAGCAGCTGGGACCCACATGGGATACCAGCACTGCACACTGCGGCTTTACCCGTTATGCCACAGTGCTGGCCCTGAGAATGAAGCTCTTTCACCTCCTTTTCCCAACACGAGGCAGAAACCTCCTCCCTCCAATCCATTACTTAACACGATTCTGGAAATTCTCACTAATGCAGTAAGATAGAAAAATATGAAGTATGAGGCCAGCACTGTAGTGCAGTGGATTAAGTTACCACCTGTGACAACAGCACCCATATCAGAGCACTAGTTAAGAGTCCCAGACTGGGGTTGGTGCTGTGGCATAGCAGGTAAAGCTGCTGCCTGCAGTGCCAGCATCCCATATGGGCACTGGTTCAAGTCCCGGCTGCTCCGATCCAGTTCCCTGCTAATCTACCTGGGAAAGCAGTGGAGAATGGTCCAAGTACTTGGACCCATGGACCCACATGGGAGACCTGGAAGAAGCACCTGGATCCTGGCTTTGGATCAGCCCAGCTCCAGCCACTGTAGCCATTTGGGGAGTGAAAAAGCAGATAGAAGATAGCTTGCTTGCTCTCTCTGTCTCTCTCTGGCTCTGCCTCTCTGTAACTCTACCTTTCATATATATAAATAAATCTTTAAAAACTAATAAAAAATAAGTCCCAGATCTTTCACTTGCCATCCATATCCCTACTAATGTGTCTTGAAAAGCAGTAGAAAATGGCCTAACTTCTTGGGCTCCTGCCACCCATTCGGTAGACCAGAATGGAGTTCCAGGCTTAGGTTTTGGCCTCGCCCAAACAGCCATGGTCCTTTGGGAAGTGAATCAGCAGTTGGAAGGTCTCTTTTTCTTTGTCTCTCTATCTTTCAAGTAAATAAAATAAAGCTTTAAAAATTATGAAATACAATAATGGAAAACAAGCAAGGTTATTATTGGCATACAAGCAGAATACATATCACAAACCTCAAGAGAATCCATTTACAAATTATAACTCATTTCAAAATCTATTGGAATACAAAATAAACATAAAATCTATGCTCTTGTTATACAGTAAGAAAGAAGAGAAAAGTGTGTGGATGCTAGCAACCCTCGAGAAGAGACAAATACTTAAATGGGGGAGGGGTCCTAAAGAAAAGGAGTGACATCATCTAACCCACAGAATCATTCTTAACTTTTGAGTTGAGAATAGCCTGGTGGGCAGCAAGAATACAAAGAACAGAAGTAGAAGACTACCTAAACATTCATTAAAGAGCTAAAATGGGGGGCTAGTGTTGTGGCACAGTGGGTTAAGCTGCTATATAAGCGCCGGCATCCCATATGGGCGCCAGTTCACATCCCAGCTGCTCCACTTCTGATGCAGCTCTCTGCCAATGGCCTGGGAAAGCAGCGGAAGACGGCCCAAGTGCTTGGGCCCTGGCATGCATGTGAAAGACTGGAAAGAAAATCCTGGCTCTGGCTTTGGTCTAGTTCAGCCCTGGCCATTGCAGCCATTTGGGGAATGAACCAGGGGATGGAAGATCTCTCTCTTGCTCACTGTCTCTTCACCTCTCTCTCTCTAACTCTGCCTTTCAAATAAATAAAATAAATCTTAAAAAGAAAAGAAAACATTATGACCACAACAGACTCAACAGTAAAACGTGTTCTCAAAGATTTATTTCGTTTTAGTGTATTAAGTGGAGGATATTCTTATGTCCCATATGTTTTAGTTATGCCTAAGTGTCCAACTCCAGTGCTCGTTACAGAGAGAGGTCTTCCATCCGCTGCTTTACTTCCCAGACGGCCGCAATGGCCGGAGCTGTGCCAATTTGAAGCCAAGGACTTGGGCCATCTTTTACTGCTTTCCCAGACTATAGCAGAGAACTGGATCGGAAGAGGAGCAGCCAGGACTAGAACTGGTGCCCATAAGGGATGCCAGTACTACAGGTCAGGGTTTAACACACTGCGCCACAGCACCGGTCCCCAGTGCTTGTTTTCTTAGATGCTTCATTAATAAATGATAAAACTTGTTCTCA